AAAGCAAACAAACAAAAATCAGATCTTTATTTTCTTTTCATTTCTGTGTGTCAGGAATTTGGGGGGTGGCTTTGCTCTGGTTCTCTCAGGAGGTTGCAGTCAAGCTTTCGGCTAGCGCTGTGTCATCTGAAGGCTTGCCTGGGGCTGGAGGACCCATGTCTAAGATGGCTTGTTCAACATGGCTGTTGGCAGGAGGCTTTAGGTCTTGGCACTTACACTTCTCCATAGGGCTGCTTGAGTGCCCTCAAGACATGACAACTGGTTTTTCCCCATCATGAATGATCCAAGAGAGAGCAAGGCAGGAAGCATGCTAACTTTTCTGACTCAGCCTGTGCAGTCACACACCTGTGAAGTCATTTCTGCAAGGTAATAGGTCAGCCCTGTTCATTGTCACAGGGGTCTTCTCACTCTCCTCCCAGCTTCTGCCCTCGTCCTCACTGTAGTCTGTTCTCCACGAAGTAGCTGGTGGCCTTTTACGACCCAAAGGAGATCCTGCCACTCTGGTGCTTCCATCATACTCACAGTGGGAGCCGCAGATCTCACTGCACCCAGGGGCTCTTTGGGTCTGACATCCCTTCTGTGATTCTCCCCAGGGGCCACCTGACCCCCTTCCCAGGGATCTCACCTCACTCCTCCTTCTGCCTCCAGTGCTCTTTCTCCAGACAGCTGTCTCAAATAGCACCCTCCAGGGACACTCTGTCTAAACTTTATTTATTTTTATTATTATTTTTTGAGGCAGAGTCTCACTCTATTGCCTAGGCTGGAGTGCAGTGCAGTGGTGCGATCTCAGCTCACTGCAACCTCTGCCCCCAGGCTCAAGCAGTTCTCTTGTTTCAGCCTCCTGAGTAGCTGGGATTACAGGCGTGTGCCACCATGCCCAGCTAATTTTCGTATTTTTAGTAGAGATGTGGTTTCACCATGTTGGCCAGGCTGATCTCGAACTCCTGACCTCGTGTGATCCACCTGCCTCTGCCTCCCATATTGCTGGGATTACAGTCATGAGCCACTGCGCCCGCCTTAAACTTTATTTTGTTTTATGTTAAATTTCTTTTAGACAGAGTCTCACTCTGTCACCCAAGCTGGAGTGCAGTGGCACAGTTGCCACTCACTGCAACCTCTGCTTCCCAGGTTCAAGAGATTCTCATGCATTAGCCTCCCTGGTAGCTGGGATTACAGGTGTACAGCACCACGTCCGACTAATTTTTGTATTTTTAGTAGAGACAAAGTTTTGTCATGTTGGCCGTGCTGGTCTGGAACTCCTGGCCTCAAGCTATCCACCCGCCTCAGCCTTTTGAAGTGCTGGAATTACAGGCATGTACTACCATGCCCAGCTAATTTTTGTATTTTTAGTAGAGATAGGATTTCGCCATGTTGGCCAAGCTGGTATGGAACTCCTGGCCTCAAGCAATCCACCCGTCTCAACCTCCTGAAGTGTTGTAATCCCAAAGGGATTACAGGCGTGAGCCACTCTTCCTGGTCTCTGTGTCTAAACTTTCAAACACCTTTGCCCCAGCTATGCTTTGTTCAGCTCTCCTGCTTCCATTTTTCTCCTTCGTTCTTATTACCGTCTCACTCACTCTGTTTTTAAATGTAATTCAAAAAAAAAAAACCTCCTTTATTAGACTGTTAGCTAAGAGCAGGAATTTTTGTCCATTTTGTTCACTGCCACAACGAATGATCTATTAGATTTGCATATCCATGAAGCCATTTTTATGTTAATATTTAAGAATGTAGGTGTTACCTCCCCACACAAATATGGTTGAAGTTAGCATACCAGAAACATTTGTAACTCATCAGTACAGTGTGTTATTTCTTGCCCAGGATTACTAGATCTGATTACTGGGGTGAAAAAAAGGAGAAAGTTTAGGAGTTTCCCTTATGTGAACTATTTCTTTTGTGAATTGATTGCAAGTTAGGCATGTAATTCAGATGGAGAATTAAAGTCTATGGTGCCATAGAGAATTTTAAGAAGAGCCATTAGGAGAAGCACAGTGTGTATATTTAATGACCCATATCTTTTGTGTTATTGACAAGTAAAAATTTCTATATTACTGTGTACAGCATGATGTTTCTAAATGTGTATACAACGTGGAATGGCTTAATCCAGCGAGGTAACGTGCAGTATCTCACATACTTACCCTTTTTTTTTTTTTTTGGTGGGGGGTGAGAACACTTAAAATCTACTCTTTCTGTTTGTTTGTTTTGTTTTTGTTTTTTTTTGAGATGGAGTCTCACTCTGTCACCCAGGCTAGAGTGCAGTGGCACGATCTTGGCTCACCACAACCTCCGCCTCCCGGGTTTCAAGCGATTTTCCTGCGTCAGCCTCCCGAGTAGCCAGGATTACAGGCGCCCACCACCATGTCCATCTAATTTTTGTATTTTTTTTTTTTTTTTGAGATGGAGTCTCGCTTTGTCGCCCAGGCTGGAGTGCAGTGGCCAGATCTCAGCTCACTGCAAGCT